ATTAATGAATTTTTCAAGAAAAGTAATCCATCATATGAAATACATTGAGCTAGTTAAAATATGTCCTCATGTGATAAAAGAAACTATAAATGTTTTAGAATTCTGGAAATATGGTATGCTGCATTTGAGTTGGAGAAACTTGAAAAAATGGAGTCTTCTTCGTTGATTATTATGGGAGGACAAGATAAGAATCCTTTTGGGAGGTACTATAATTCTTATTAACTGTGTTTCTTCTTTACCTATACCTTATACCTACTAGCAAATTAAGATAACGTATGTATCATTTAACTTAAAAGTGTGCATTTATACAGAGAACTTCATTTCCATAACTGCTAAGTGACCAAAAAGGGAGAAAGTTTTGATCATTGCAATTAAGAGGAAGAGGGGAAAATAAAAGAGAGAGAGAAAGAAGAGGAAAGTGAGCTTTCAGCAATTAGTGGAGAATCTAACATCTCTGATAGTGTTAAAGTCTCGAAGCAGCTGGAGTCGCAAAACAAGCAGCTGCTCAATATGCTCTATATGTTTGGAGGTGCGTGCGTACATGCATACATAATATAAGTAAATCACAGGGCTTGAAATAAAAGCGTGAAAGAAATATGTTATTGAGAAGTCCTTGGCTTGAATTCTTCTAATTAAAACGTGAAGATGCCCACAAAACAGTGTTCTCTTGCAAATTTAGTTTCACACTCCTTTTAATGAAATAAAGTATGCATTGTATGGAACTAAAACTAAATAATGTGGTGTTCTAACAGTCAAGACATGAAATTCTTGTAGCAAATGGTAGGCTCCTTCACTAAGCTCTGTTTCTGTTCTTGCTGGGGCTCTTTGTTTTCTCAAATCTCTCTTCTGCTGGCACTAGTTGTAGTCTCTATTTTATACTAAACTTTATATAGGACCCTATGGAAGGTCAATGTCCAGGGCAAAACAATTGGTGTTCTCTCCTTAAACCAAAATTTTTTATTGGTAAAATGAGGCAAAGTGGACATCAAATATTGACTTGGTAGGTTGCCTTGCAGGACCTTTCCTATATATGTCCAGCTGGGGTTGTGTTTTTGGGTCAAGGAGTCACAATCCATTCTCTGCATGTGAGTGAGTTCTCCCTTTCTCTTTAGTGGGACTACCTATTTCACCAAACCTGACAAGAGACAATCTTCAATTGAACTTTCCCCTGTGGACAGCTCTGTCTATCTTTTCTTTGCCATAAGGTTACAAATAACATGTCCTTACTATGGTGAAATGGATATTGGACAATGAGTTAGAGAACAGAGCATTCTTTTATTTATTTAGTTAGTTAGTTAGTTATATATTTATTTATTTATTTATTAGGAAAAGGTGTGCTTTTGACAGCCAAAATCATTAGCAGGTAGAGCAGTATAAGAGAAATGGCTGTGTATGACCACTCTCCTCCCCTCTTCTTTTCCTCTGAGAAACTTAACAGAATGATTTTGGTAATTTTTTTTATTACGTCTCAGAATTTTTCTCAAAATATTGTCCCAGAATGGCAACTTACTCAACAATTATGGTTGGTATATGACAGTGGTCAGCAAACTGCGGCTCACGAGCCACATGCGGTTCTTTGGCCCCTTGAGTGTGGCTCTTTCACAAAATACTACGTGCAGGCGCACATGTACAGTGTGATTAAAACTTCGTGGCCCATGCGCAGAAGTCGGTATTTTGTGGAAGAGCCACACTCAAGTGGTCAAAGAGCCACATGTGCCTCATGAGCCACAGTTTGCCGACCACTGGTATAGGAGATAAAGCTGATTTTGCATCCCTAGACTACATAATCTCTGAATTCCCTTTCAGATATAACATTATATGGTTCTCTGATTGTAATTTTTAATGGCTCCTATTTTGGTTGTATAGGGAAAATGTAGTTATTTTTGCTAATGTATGTACTGGGATGAATAATATAAAATACTAGATAATCAAAAAATAATACATTTTCTTATATAGTAGTAACTCTTTCTAGTATGTGTGTTGTTTGTGCTCTTTATTCACAGAGGTTAACAGGAAGTAACATAATTGATTGAAGGGAATTATAGATTATACTAGAGGCCTGGTGCACAAATTTGTGCACAGGTGGGGTCCCTCTGGGTGGCCTTCAGGGATCAAGCCGAAACCCACAGTCCAATGCAGCCTGCAGCTCCCACCTGCTGCTCCCATTTATCTTGGCCCCACCGTGCCTGCCTTGGGTTCGTGCCTAATCAGTCCCAACTGGGAGAGGCTCGTGCTGCCGCAGCAGTGTTCACCAGCCATGAGCCCTCCATTGGCTCCCTCCCAAGGGGGTGGCCTGCGGGATAGAGCTGAAACTGGCTCTCTTACATCCCCTGAGGGGTCTGAGATTGCAAGAGGGCGCAGGCCAGGCTGAGGGACCCCAATGGTGCACTATCGGGCCGGGGGGTGGGGTACAGGAGGGCTCCAGGGAATGACCAGCCCATCTTACTCAGTCCTGATCAGCCAGACCCCAGCAACAAACTAACCTGCCGGTCGAAGCATCTACCACCTGGTGGTCAGTGCACATCATAGCGACTGGTTGATCAGTTGACTATCTGCCCCCTGGTGGTCAGTGCATGTCATAGTGAGCAGTTGAGCAGTCTTAGTTCAATGGGGCCTTGACTTACGAGTGTCCCGACTAACGAATTTTTCGAGATACGAGCCGTCCCTTGGCTGATTCTTTGCTTTGAATTGGGAGCTCAAATTCGGGTTATGAGCCAGCTTCAGATACCTCACCGCTAGTTGGTGCAGCGAACGTCACAGTGAATGCCAAAACATCAGCTCAGCATCATGTGTCTCACTCGTTCACTTTAAGATTTGACATATGAGTAATTTGAGTTACGAGCTCCGTCACGGAAAGAATTAAACTCGTAAGTCAAGGCCCCACTGTATATCATTAGCATATTACGCTTTGATTGGTTGTTCGGTCATTCTGCTGTTCAGTCGTTCTGCCGTTTGGTCTATTTGCACATTACCCTTTTATTATATAGGCTACTGCATCAAATTTATCTGCTATATGATGATTAACATATGACTCTGGAGTTAATCTTTCTAAATCTGAAGATTAAAATAGATAATTTTCATATATTTTTACAGGTGACAGAATATAATGTTAAACAGTGTTTTTATCTCAAACTTTTATATGTATAACTTTATAATTTTTGTGGTAGATTTATAGTAAATGTTACATTTATTTAATAATTATTTATTTATTTTTATTTTTTAGCAGATTTTTTTTTCAGAGATAGAGAGAAATATAGATCAGTTGCCTCTGGTATGCACCCAACTGTAGTATATGCCCTGACTGGGAATGAAACCCAACCTTTCGGTGCATGGGGCGATGCTCTAACAAACTGAGCCTAACCTATCAGAGCTTAATTACTATTAATTAGTGTAACCAAAAAATAGAATTCAACTGTTTATACATTAATAATGTTCTCTTCTTATTTTAAATGCTAAATGATCCAAGATTTTAATCAAAATATTTTCTAAAAGTGAATTTCTACTTGCTTATATAATTAGTAATGGTATTATTTACTAAAATAATGAAACAATCTAGTGACCAGTGGTTTTGCATAAATTCATTAAAAGTAATAACTATAAATTTGTATTGCTTTCTGTGCTGATTTCATGGACATGAGTAGCTACTATGATTTTTAATAAAACTTTAACCTCAATCTGTTATATTCTAGAAGGATTTCTCTCTGTGCTATTTTTCACATTTATTTAAAATCATATAACCTCTCTTATCCTTGAAAATTATATCCCTAATAATTTTAATTTATTTTGTATATATTAGTTTTCTTACCATTAATCATAATTAATTTGTTTGATGTTTATATGCATGCCATTAAGATAGTACTTCTAAACTTAGACTTTGTCAGCTTTCATTAACTGACCAATTAATTACATGTAGGTACTTATCATTTCAGTCTTCCTTTGAATTTTCAAGAACTGTCTAAAACAATTTATATTAAAGTCTGAATGTTTAGAATGTATGAATTAGAATGCCTAAAATCTAGAATAAAGACAGAGCCAATTATAATAAATAATCTTATAAATGGAATTTATTTTGTCTTGATTCTTTCTGAATTACTTTTCTTTGTATTTATTTACTTTTTTATTTTTCCTTTGTAATGTTTTTACTTTAAAGATTGGCATTCTGAGATATCACTTCTTGTCTCTTTTTTTTCCCATGTATGTTTTGTCTTTACATTTACTTACAATTTATATTTGTTCTAGTTTTATATATTTTTTGAAGTTAGCATATATTCATATATAGAATGGTTAAAATGAAATTAAATCAGAGACCATAAATCATATAGTAGAAATAAGAAATTATTCAGCTGGAAACCAGAATGATATTGTTGCTGAAATTTAGTATTTGATGTGACTATGTGTTTTCTAATTTGTTAAGAAAAAGAACAAAAGCATTGTCAATTCTCCAGTTTAGTAAAAGAGACAAAGTGTTATCAAAGTTTTAAATCCCAGTTGGCTCTGTTTTCTATGGCCAGAAATCGTTACTCAAATCCTTCAACACCCGACTCCACTTCATTCATTCACCAGTTTACATATTATCTCCTTTTTGAAAACATTATATCATGTATTGAGTAAGGCATTACCTTTTCTCTAATATACATTAATAATTATAAAAGCATAGAATTCCCATCATCTGAGAGGCAGATAACAGTCACTGAACTATATCTAACCCTGGCAATAATCCTGCAAGGTTTATGCTATTTCATTTACTATATGGATGATGCAACTGAGACCAAGAGAACCTAAGTAATTCGCACAGGCTAAATAACTAAAGGGCAGAATTTTTAAACTGTATTTCAATAGCATTTTGTAATTTGAGGATCTCCTCAGTTAGAATGTTCCTTTAAAAAAAATTTTACATAGTTGTGTAATAGCTCATAAGCTTAATTCACTGCTTCTCAAAGAAAGAGAAAATATATGAAACTCATTGACAGTCCAATATTACTATGCTTTTTTGCAGCCTGTGAACTTATGAATCAAGGCATCTTGGCCCTGGTCAGCTCCATTGGCTGCACATCAGCGGGATCCCTCCAGTCTTTGGCAGATGCTATGCATATCCCCCACCTCTTCATCCAGCGAGCAACAGCTGGGACCCCAAGGAGTGGCTGTGGACTCACCCGGAGCAACAGGAATGATGACTACACACTCTCTGTTCGCCCACCTGTCTACTTAAATGAGGTTATCCTGAGAGTGATCACAGAATATGCGTGGCAGAAATTCATCATATTCTATGACAGTGAATATGGTAAGTGTTTGCGATTTGTGTGAGTTTTGTAAGTGATATTTTTATGGCAAGCAACTTTATTAAATCTTGAAAAATTTTAAGGAGCTTACTCGTTATCATTTGTGGTTTTTTTGTCCTGTCAGATTCTTCTAATAAATCTAGCAGCAACAACAAAAATTTTAAGGAAAAGTTCAATCATTTCTATTAAAACCCTTTGAAGTCAAATACTATATAATAAAAGCCTAATATGCAAATTGTCCCCTCAACTGGGAGTTTGACCAGGGGGTAGGGCTAGCCAGCCAACCGCCTATGGCCCCTCTCCCTTGCTGGCCCCGCCCCAGCCAGCAGTGGCCACAGGCAGTTAAGGGAAGGGAGGCCCCAGCTGGCAGCCGACAGCCACTAGGGACCCTACCTATGCACAAATTTTATGCACTGAGCCTCTAGTTTTAATATAAATTCCTATACCAAATGCTGTCAATACATATTTCCAAAAGAAATCTAACTCCAATGCATCTTCATTTTTCAAGTAATTGGAAGTCATAAAGACAATACTATATTTTCCCCTTTCAAAATACTATATAGAGATATACTATGTTTATATCTCTATCCTATATAATCCTATATAATAAAGAAGTAATATGCAAATTAACGTTCATGCCCTCAAAAAATGGCTACCTATGATGAGGCCGGGGGGGGGGGGGGCAGTTAGGGATGACCAGGCAGGCAGGCAGGTGAGTGATTAGGAGCCAGCGGTCCAGGATTGTGAGAGGAATGTCCAACTGCCTGTTTAGGCTCAATCCCTGGGATCAAGCCTAAACTGGCAGTCAGACATATGCTAAGGGGTCCCGGATTGGAGAGGGTACAGGCTGGGCTGACGAGACCCTCCCCCCCCTCGCCCTGCACGAATTTCGTGCACTGGGCCTCCAGTTTAATAATAAAGACCATTTTGGACAGATCTTGGAACACTGAAAAAATGCTAATTTCTATTTATTGGTTCCAAAGAATCTGACATATCATGCTTACACCCTTATGAAGACTTCAATAACTACTGAGTACTTAACTCTTTGGGGGCCACTAAAATTATGTTACTGAAAGTTAGCATGGCATATTGTCTACAATATGAAGTCTCACAAAATATTGAGTAGCATGAGACTCTTTATTTAACTTTCCAAGGTAAAACAAAAAACATTTTTTCATAAATTTACCATAATTTGCAAAGATGCGTTGTCTAGGAACTTTTTACTTACATTTAATCAAATGAGAGAGATAACCAGAGATTGGTAAGGAAAATATATTTTGAAATATGTGTTTCCTCAGATATTTGCCTTAAGAGGGAATCTCAGAACAATTTTTACATCCACTATGGATGTGTCTAGTTTTTACAGTTGTATAAAACAAACAAACAAGAAAAACAGCAAGATAATTTTACCTCCCACAGTGCAACTTATTTTCCTTAGCAAATAAATAAACATTTTAAAAATAATGGTTTTCTTGTCTTAACCTACTCAGCATTGTCAACAATATTGGAAAACAGATATACAAGACTCAGCCAGAAAGAGGCATCAATAGAACGGAGCATAAAAAGGTTGGCAGAAATCTGGGGAGCAACAAATAAGAGATCCTGTGGCCTTCCAGCGACCAAAGCAAGTGGTAGTTACATTTAGCCCTAAATATTCAAAGGTTGCCTGGGGTTTGGGCAGCCAGAGTCACATTAAACTTGATGGGTAGATTTCAGCCAAAAGCCTGTGGCACTCTCCGGAAGCACCTCCTTTGTGTCCAGCACGGAAATTGTCCTTTTTGTTGCTTAATTCATGTTATTTAGGGGTCACCAAACAAAGATCAAGAGACCGAAATGAATAAAATAAACAAAAAGAAAATTAAAAATAATTGATTCATCAGTTAAAATAGGGATTGAACACACATTCAAAATTCATGGATAAGATTATTTACTGAACATAGTAAATTCTACTAAAGGGTCCAATATGCTGAGTAGGGGTCTGTCAGTTTTCTCCAATCAGATTATGTATGATTTTTATAACCATAAATAGCATTCTTATGACCTCTGGTGAAACATAATTTGAAATAACAAATTTAAACCCTAGATCTTTCTTTAAGGTGAGAAAAGACTTTTTAGTTAGTCCTATCAAAATAGTCCTGTAAGATACGGAACAGAAAAGTGATTTTTGGATAAAGGCATTTTCATAACATTGAAATGAGGATTTTACACCTTAATATAACTGTCCATGCAGAAATCCTTTGTCATCCTGTTTCTAAGTCCTACATGGGCTACAATAGGAAAGTAAAATAATACATTTTTATTATTAATGAGGCAAATATTTTTGCAAATGTACTCTAACTTTGTAGTCACATAGAATCATTTACATTCATTTGAAATTCCTCATTTTCTTTCCCTCTGTTTCCCTTTTAGCAAATAAGATGCTATAAGCTCTGTGTATGACTGGGTCCCCTTAATGCCCGTGGATGAAACTCCTCTGTCCTCTGGGGGAGTGAGGAGTGTCACTGACAGAAGCAGGGTTTTAGGAATAACAATGTTAAAAAAGCATTTTTCTTTACTTTGATGAAAAACTTGCTTCCGACTTATTATTTAATTTAATAATTTATTAAAATCACCTTGCTTGTATCCTTAAAATTATCTCCAGTCATACTCTTGTTAGTGAAAGAAAATTTCCCTTTGATACTTACAATAAATCTTGCTAGTAAAGAACTGGGCAAGAGTCCAAAATAAACATCAATCTATCCAAATACCTTGTACCTTGAAGAGGGTTATGTTTATTTACATATCCATTCATCAGTGCCCTCGTTTTAAGTTCAAACATTGGATTTGCACTTGACTTTTATCTTGGTTATTGGGAATTGCTTTCATTAATGAATGGATTAAGCATCATCTATGGATGGAATCAGGCAGCCTGCTGGAGCCAAATGTTATTGAAGATATATTTTGCTTAGAGAAATACACTTTAAAAAAATGATTAAGCTTCTATATCCAGTTAATTAGAGAAACACTTTTTCAAAAACAGTTAATTATGATTAAGGGCACAGTATAAAAGTCTACTTTAAATTCCCTAACAAAGAAGAATCAAGTCTTTGATTCGAAGTAAATGCATGAAAAGAGAAAAGAAATGTGGACACTTTATTTGAATGGATTGATTCAAAACATTTTCTAAAAGGCTTGGAAAGAGTTTAACAAGTGTTGAGCTTTTAAAAATGTGTCATTCAGCAAATGTTCGTTGCTCATTTGCTTAGAGCAATGTAAAATGTGAGATAAAAGAGTTTTACAGAATGTAGTCTTAGCCTTTAAGAAGCTTACAATTAAAAAAAAATAGGAGGTAAAATATTTATATGACTCTCTTAATAGAGAAAGTAACGTAAGTATTATGAATGATGCAAACTAAATCCTAGTGGTGAGTGATAAAAGAAGTGTCTAACTTCAGCAGCAGTAATCAAAGGCTGTATGGGTGGACTTTGACTTGATTGTTGCCTCTCAAAATCCTACAAGCTTTCACAAAGTATAGCTGATCCAATAGAAAGTCTAGCAGCAATAAAAATATTAAAAATAATATCTCTATATATTTTATTTGCCAGAAACTAGAATAAGTATTTTATATTATGTAATTTACTCTCTTCTATATCTACTACCTAAATACCAAGAGCAATTTCCCATTTTCATCATAATGTGCTTTTCAGATATTCTACCTTTCTAAATTTCTTTATCCTTATCTATTCTCATTTTTCAGTATCAGTAATATGAACTGACAAGTTTACTCATTGCCACATGCACTTAGAACCTTCGAGAGGCAAGACCAGTACAATTTTTAGCAAAATAAAAGCACTTATACTTTGCTGTGTTTCGTTATAATTTCTTCAAGTTAAAAATTTTATGTTAACTCTTTATTGTATTACTCATTATATTGCCCTACCCTTTTAATTCTGCATCATTCTTAATTTGCTTAGCTTTTAACCAAATCTCTGAGAGGACGTTTGGTCGAGTAGGGGGAATATGATACTCTGGAAGAGTTGTTAAAAGCAATTGGCAGTAATCTAGGCAGGCTCACTGTCAGAGATGTCTAAGCAAGTAATTAATTGAATATACCAGTGTATGACTAGATTCCACAATCAGGGAACTGACAATATATAAAAACCAGAAACTTATAGGAGCAGGTGGTCCTTAAAATAGAATCAAAGCAGGTAGATTGCTTTAGTGGGAGGATTCTGTTCTGAAAGTATTGATGAGACAAAAGTTGAATTTCAGGCCTGGGAGAACTGAATAGAACTGATTTACTAGGGTGATATAAGCAGTGAGGTTGAAGTACTCTTTTTCAAATGAACTATTTAGGTTCTTTCATTTCCTTTGCTTGAAACAATATTGATCCCAGCCTGATATTGCCATGGATATATTGGTAGGTGCATTTTAATGGATCTAGTTATGGAGACTGGAAGGATAATATGGATGATAATAATAATAATGGATCTAAGGAGCGTTCTGAAAGTATTGATGAGACAAAAGTTGAATTTCAGGCCTGGGAGAACTGAATAGAACTGATTTACTAGAGTGATATAAGCAGTAAGGTTGAAGTACTCTTTATCAAATGAGCTATTTGGGTTCTTTCGTTTCCTTTGTCTGAAACAATATTGATCCTAGCCTGATATTGGCATGGATATATTGGTAGGTGCATTTTAATAGATCTAGTTATGGAGACTGGAAGGATAATATGGATAATAATAATAATGGATCTAAGGAGTTTGTTATGGTAATGACATAGAGACATGAACTTGAAAGTAGTGTGATACCCACTTACATACCTTCATCTCTACTTCAGTTCAACTATTGGCTTTATTCTTAGGCAAGACAGATGACACTGGTTACTCCCAGCATATCCTTACAGGTTATTATACTAAACAATGATTCTTCCCCTTCTTTGTCTGTTTATCAAATATAATTTATATGGAAATATATTCATATATCAAGTCTCAGCCCCTGTTTGGTTCCTATGATAATCCCT